TTCTTAACAAATGCTTTCATGCCTTTTTTTTTTCCTGTCTCTCCCCAACTGCTAAATTGGGTATGCGAACCCAGTAAGTAACTGGAAAGAGCAAGTCCTGGAAGAGTTAAACACAACTGCTCAAAGAACAGCATGGAATATTTCACTGCCACCAAGTGTGCACAAGCCTTTGGGGGCCAACAACTTTTAAGGCTCTTAGTAAACCTCTGCAGCAAGGTAACAAAACCCACAGCAAATAAAGTATGCGCTTACAAGTCACCGTGCAGGAATCTCAAAACCTGTAAGCGCAGCTATTAGTCTCATTTTACCAAGGGAGAATCTAATTTAGAAAATGCAAGTAGGTTGTTCAAGACCACACAGGATGCCAGTATTAGCACTGTTTCTCCTTCCTCTGATCAATCAGGAAAACCATCACCCACACCCCAAACTATCCCAAGCCAGTTTTTGATACCTACCTTAAATTTCTTCTGGTACACAAGTTGGTTATTTTGTATTGAGAACCAGCGCCTATTCAAATAAAGAGACATCCAGAGAATACATAATTGATTTTACAGTGCTTATTTGACGGAAATGTGCTAACATACAGTCTAAGGAGAGACTGCATAAAAGGATTCACAAAAGTAATGCTGCAGTCAGTTTTGGCAAGTATTTTGTGAGAATAATGAAAAAAGGGAAAGCAGGGACAAAACAGAAAAGGAAGCAAGGTTCAAATAATTTGAGTCCTAAACACATTCATGTTATGACAACATTAGTTAAGCTATCACACAAACATTTTCATTTCAAAGAACATTTACTTCTGTATTTTAGCAGCAAGCTACAATTTTACTGACAAAATGAAGGGAATATAAAAAAGAATTCAGTTCTGCAGTGAATTTACACTTTTTTGTTTTGTTCAGGCTTATAATGTAAACCTGTGTTTAATCACAGCACAATTCCTCAATTATCTCAAATACCCCACTTAGACCACACATCACATTTCTGCACTGCGAATTAGTTTCAATGGAAACAATATACAAAATATTTTATTGCAACATATCTTGTTATTCTCCACAGGCTGTTGAACTTCAAGCTACAGTTTGCTGCAATTAGTAACAAGAGGGCTCCATATATTTATTCAACCACCACAAAGCCATCCATGAAAAGCAGCATACAAAAATTAAGAAAAATTAAGTTATACAAAAAAGTTAGATTCAAATCAGAAAATCTAGTATTTGTTAGAAAAGTTAGTACTTAATAGACAGATGAGATTCTACCTTTTAACAATTAATCTTTTCAAATGTTGTGCAGATATATTTAATTTAAAAAGCAACAACAGGATCTTCTTTTAATACTGCATTTCCAACATAATTACAGCCATCTTTTTGGGTTAAGATAATTGAACAGAGCAAGGCAAAAAATTAACTACTATTTCAATTTATTAACAGCAGTAGTTCGATCACTGCTATTTAAAAGGTATCACCTTTACCATCTATTTAAAAAACCACAGATGCAGTAACTAAGCCTCAAATATAAGCATAAGGCAGGTTATTGCTAATATTTAAATAGGTAACTCAACAAAAAAAGCAGACTAGAAATGGAAAATTAACCCGGGCTTTTTCATGTGCTTTTTTTTTTTTTTTTAATATAACACCAAATAGAAAAACATGAAAAACAGTGCCTAAGTGATAAAAAAACCCACAGCCTTGCCCCAAGATAACATGCAATGGAGCAAATTCCTATTGATGGCTTTAGGTAGTGCAACTTACTTCATTAATGCAATGTTTCATTTGTTCTACAGCTAAATATTTAGTGAGTTACTAAAGTAAATAAGCTCCAATATGTTCAACTGGATATAAGTGAGCACACAAATTGTAAAACAAATTTGTGTCACCTATAAAGCCTAGTCTAGAAGTTTTCAAAGTACTCCAGACCCTTTTTTTTTTTTTTAAAGTAGAAAAATTAAATCTGTTTAAAACAACTTTTCAGTCTACCCAAAAAATGTGGGGCTTTTGATTTTTTTAAAGATACTTTTATTGAACTAGATCAACAATTTAGAATGTAGTGTAACTTGTAGATCACACTTTTGAAGTAGATGTCAATGGAAAATAAAGTTAATATATTTTATTGTATGCTTGAAAGAAACAAAAGTGGCAGACTTCCCTCCAACATATCAACACCACAGCAGTTTTATTCAGGTCAAAATCTTTGAATTATTTCTTATTAACCAAGCATCATCAATAAACTCCACTCATTACTGTAGGAAAGCCTGCTGAGGGTCTCAGCAGTAACAGCCAGCAACTTCTGAGGTTCAATATATGTACTGAAGGTGCTGTTGTAGGGTATACCACAACTATCCTGTTCCAAGAGTTAATGTTCATAAACCTTTAGGCAACACGTGTGCAGTAAGTACTGATCATTATCAAAGTTTCCTTAAGTGTGTCATTCTGTCAAAAATAGGTGAAGTATGGTGAAGGATAAAACATACTTGGGGATTCTTAAAGCAAGCGCACTGCCTCACTCAGTAGTGCTTAAATATAGTTGTCTGGGTTTAGAAACCAAGGGTTTTCCATCATTTATACCCACACAATTCAAAAGAGTATTTGTTAAACAGGAAACAATGCAAGCTTCGTTGAAAAACATTTCCAACTTCTGAGAACTGAGAGTAATACCAAAAAGAAATATAAAATTTGTTATTTGCATTTTACATAAAAAATGAATCATGCTTACTGATTCTCAAAAGGAAAGAGTTTTCTTCACTAGTTGCTATCAGCATGCAAATAAGACAGTGATTAAGAATGCACAACATTTAAAAGTTATATCTCTATTTTCCAATGCAGTTGATAAGAAAAATCTCACCAACTTCAACTGGAAAAAGTCAAAACACTGATCTTGTACGGTCAAAAGTTTGAGTGCAGGAACTTTGCTTTAATTCCTTTTTAGCTTTAACTAGCTCAATCTTTCTAATTCTTTTAAAGGTGTTGAGCAGCAGGTATACTGGCATCCCAGGCAGAATCCTTCTGTTATTTTCTTAGACTGAGCCACTTATACATCCATTGCAAGTAATCAAAATTAAATGCAGGGTTAATAAAGAACTTTTTGCGTGCCAAAGAAACATTGGGAAGGTATAAAAGAAGCTGTTTGGTACCTGATGTGATCTGGCTTTTTCCTGTCATGTGAAAAAATGGGGTAGGGTTAAAACATAAGGGAAAGAAGGAAAAGGAATGAATAATGCAAAATGAGCAAAATAAGCAAAGAATTAGCATGATCTGAAAATACAGCAGAATTAAAAAGGAAAACACTTAATGCATCCAACCTAAAAACTACACAGAACATACTAGTGTTTGACAAAGGCTTTTCTTCCTACACACATTTATTCACGCGTAACTTTCTTCATGATATGGACTTATTCTTCATTTGAATTTCTAGGAACCAAAGCAGCTTTCCACCTCCTGCTCCACAATAAATCCATCTGATTTCAGTTCCTGATGCCTTAAGAAAAATTGTGTACAATAAGACGTATCATTTACAAACAGATCAGGTTGTTGTAAACATTCAAATAGGTCTCCATACCTTACTGTAAGACCTTGTAGTATAAAGATACCATTTTGATTTCATGAAAGTATATTATCTGAAATACCCATGTACATTATACAAGTATCCATTTAGTCACAATAACAAGAGATTGCAAAATCTCCAGCTCTTTCAAAACACAGCAACACTGAATTGCAAATAGCTCTTGCGGTTTACTTTGCAACTTGCAGAACTATCCCAAGAACAGGAAACCTGATGCCAAAGCCCAAGTAACTGAAGTCTCCAAACAATTAAACCCAAGCTGCCAGCTGCCCCAGGAAGAACCTACATCATCACAGGAAGAAATTAGCTTGGATTGGAAACAAGTTTTCATTCATTAGAACAGATTTGCCCCCCTTCAAAGGGCTGCATTACATGGTTTTGATGATCTTCTCCCCCAGCAACCAGACTTTTCCCAGGATAATTCACTATAGTGGCCATGGATTCACTGACCGAGACATGCACACAGAAGCACCACAATTATCTAATTTATTAGCTAGAATCACACTGATGTGTGTCAAACCCAGACACAATTCACTGTACCATTTCCTTCTTGCTTACGTTTTTAATGCTGGCAAGTATATACCAATAGTGGTAAATGCAATGATTTTTGGTGCCTTTAATTCAGCCTTAAAGGAGTACTTAAAAAGGCCTACAACCATCAAAATACCAACTGATACCAGCAGAGGAAAGAGAGAAGCTACCATTTTAAATACCTATTATTACTGACAGTGCAATCAGCAGTTAGCAAGGAAGATCAGTGCTGTTGCCCTTGGTTCAGGGCATCAGGAAATGCCAGTATTTCTTTCTAGGCAAATTTTTCTGTTTGTTTCAGCTGGTTGATTCTCCACCCACCTCCCCCAAAGATGGGCATATAAAGAAGCAGCAAACTACCTATTTGATAAGAACTCTGAAGATATCTTCTCTGCCTTGGGGTTTCTGCCTTCAGCTCTGCATTCCCTCATATAAAATACATAATTCCCATAATGTTTCCTCCTTTGGTATTTCACTGTACATTTTCACACTCAAAACAATGTAATGCAATGACAGTCCTTTTTTGTACTCTACCTAGTGACTGGAAAACCAGTCTCACCTCTAATGTACGGTACACTTTAATCAGTATTATCTCCCTGCAGCTGAAACTGCAATACTGCATAAATAAAGCTTTCCATCAGTGGCAACGGGCTGTGGAAAGTGGTAATGACCACTTCAGTGCCTACAACGTAGCAAGCAGTTACAAATGTATTCAGAAATAAAAATAATCTAAAAATACTTCTCTATTTTTATTAAAACATGAAAAATAGGGCTAGATTCAGAAACTAATAGTTGTCTTCATTAGGAAGGTCTTAAACATGTATTTTATGTATAATAATAGTAGTAGCAGTTTCAGAACAATTAGTAGTGGTTTGTGAATGTGAAGTACAAAATTGCAATGATTGATTTAATTCCTAAACAGTGCTTATAGATAGCATTATCCAATGCTATTCTCTGCCTAATTCTGAAGCATCTAACTAGCCTATCACAGCAAGATAAATTATCAAGAATCTAAGATCAAAAAAGGTTAAAAGTAATTGAATACTCCTGTGACAAATAGAAAAATCTAAAGCAAATATAAATTATATAGTAAAAGCAGGTAGCTCCAATCCATTACTGAGCTGTTTACCTTGGCTCTCAAATAAATTATTGTTTGGATATGTTTTTATTATACAAGTCCAAACCTGTAACTTAACCTGAAACAATGTCATTGTGTGCCTTGATTTTATTACGACTTACTCGTATTTATTTTGTGTCCATTTATATTTCTAACATACAGAAGTTAGTTTTAATTGAATCCTACTCCCTAACCACCTTAAGGTATTACTAGGTATGAAGCCATGTGGGAGAAGACTATTTCTCAGCTACCTTCCAACACTCCCATCCTGCTCCCTCCCCATACCTCCCTACAGAGCAAGGCCTTTATGCTCTCCAAAAGAGGAACCCAGAGAGCAAGTCAGAGAGTTTTGCCTTCAGTCAGTTACCAAGAGGCTGCAGTCAATCCTGCACAACACTTTGCAAACAGGAGCCTTTCAGCCTGTTGAGGGTCCAATAAAGGATAATCTCCTGCCCTGTTACTGGGGATTTTTCTCAGTGTGCTTACACTAACATTTTACTTCAGACCAGGAATGTGCTTTTGGAGCATATCTCCCAGTTTTCTCTCTTCACCATCCTTTGATGCCTTGCAGATTTGTCTTGGAGAAGTCCGAATTCTGCTTGGATGAAGCTAACCCAGAAGGTACATTACAGACAGATAATCAGACCACAGGACCAGAAGTAGTCCAAAGTAAAATCCCCTGAACTAGTTGCACATGAGTTGCTAATAGAGATACAGCCTTATTGATGCCAGTGGCCCTTGCATCAGTCTATAGATTTAAGTGAAGCAATACCAATTTGTTATAGACTTGTGATGTTCCAAGATGCTGAAGGATTTATAGAATAATTAAGGTTGTAAGGGACAACATATCTAAATGCACATTCTGGCCTTTGAAACACAGCAAACAGTTTAACAGAAGTACTGCTGCAAAAAATCACAGAGCTTAAGATAGAAAAAAAGAGAGCTCTATAATACAACAAATTAAAATTCAAGAACTGTATCCAACTATACAGCTCCAGCACATACAATATTTCCTTGAAAAAAGCATACATCCTTGGAAATGCAAAAGAAATCCTGTTCAGGAAGAAAAATATTTAAACAATAGTAAAATATATATTGTTAAAGAGACATGACTAACAATATATTTGGAATTCCCAACAGGACCATCAAAACTACTAAGCAGAAGTCACTGCACAGGATAACAAGTAACAGGTAATATACTTATCTTTCAGGAAAAATAACTTGAGTCCTTGAATCCTTCATTGTGTATCCATGTTTCCAACAGCTATACCACTTCCATTTTACTTTGTCCTCTAACACTTATTTTCCCAGCATATACATTCACATAGCTTATTGTATACAATCATAGGGATTACTCTGTTTCAACCCCAAATGTGAAAATGCAATTACAGAGCTGGACTGTGCACAACAAAGCAAGCTTTCCATACATAAGACTTCTCCAGATTAAGATACACTCTTAGGAAAAGGCTTGCAAACAACTAGGACAGAAAATAAGGAAAAATGGCTTTGAAGTATCATTTCTACATTAATTAACAGAGTCATCCAAGTATTCTGTCAAAACTGTGGAATCAGTGAGTTGCATAGATAAGTCAGACCACAATTTAGCTTAACAAGCAGTATCTTAATCAGCTAGTAAATAGAGGTTCTGAATAATTACCTGTTCCAAGTCTTGAAGGCATTGCTGGCTCGCTTAAATAGATAACCTTCCATAACAATACCATTGGCTGCATCTACATTGTATTCTAGTTTAGTATCATCACTGGAATAATCCTAGTACAAAGGAACAAGACAAGAAAGAGACATTGCAGTTTCAAATGAAACTTCAAATATGGGCAGCATTAATGTCAAAGAGAGTAAACATTTAGGGATAATGTTTTGCTTGCAACACTTATTAGTCAAGCCATGACTCTCAGCCCCTGACAATTTTTTATTTTTTTTTTTTTTTTTTTAAAGCATTTTAGGAGATCAGAATGCTGAAGATTTTTATTTTACCTGCATGCAAGGGCAATTTCTTGCTCAGGTATTGGTGACCTCTATGGCCAAGCAGAGGGCAAACGTTACTGACAGAGCATCTGATGCTTCAGCTGTCTGCTCAAATAGTCTCACATACTCTCCCCTTTCTTTGGCATATAAGGTAGAGGAGAAGGGGCAATGGAAGTTCGAAGTCAAAACTGAAAAGTAATTGCCTGTTGTTGCCAACTATACAGAACCAGTTATGCTTTAGCATTTTCTTCAGCCCTGTCATCTTGACAAATGAGCTGGATCAGAGCTTAGAAGACAAGTAACCAAATAAAGATGATGCTATCAGTTATCTCTTAAATTAAAGTGGTCAAGGTGCTGGCAATGATGACAAGAACTTAGCAGTAACTTTTTCTTTATGATCTTTGACAGGAATACGAAGCTAGAAGTAGGACAAGGGAATATATATTTCAATCAATCTAGTAACAAATAATAACAGCTAGTAACAGTTAATAACAGCTTTACAAGTTTTAGAAAGGTTAACTGCTTCACATCTCCAGCAAAGGTAGAGTAGACCAAGTAGTAATACATGCGATGATTATTTGCTTTCATATCTCATCTGAAACAACAGGGACTCTTCCCAGGGAGCTACAGAACTCAGGTATTCAATGAGTGGGAAGCTAACAGCTACTAGGGGTGCATGAAAAAGCACACATCCAATGACATAACTTTAAATGAATACTGTCCAGAGATCAAAATAATATACATGGTATTATTTAATTTCACTGTTAGCAAAATACATCCTTAAAGTAGACTAGCAATATATGGCTTCTTCCCCTTAACTAGGTCAGAAGAGACATCATTAAGTTTCGGAACAAAAAATTCCATAAAATTACTCACAGTGTTTTCAGCTATTACTAATCTGAATAGATTAACTACATTTGAAAAGTTAAATCTAAATTTTTATTAATTCACTGACTAAAGATCAGTGCAAAAGTTCCAAAAAGTTTCCAAATGAAAATGGAACTATCATATCACTACCATATACTACTGATCTGAATAAACATGTAAGTTGCAAATAAAAGCTTCTCAAAAATCACAAATTTGTACATTTATTATTCAGCATTTAATAATTTTGATTTTCTGCCTATTTTTGAGATCAGAACATGCTGAACATTAAAGACTTCACGTAAGCACAAACAGCCAAATATCACTGTACAATTTTAAATTAGTATTTCACAAGTTATAACATACACAAACATTCTCAAAGCGTTAAGTCTTTTCTGTTTTTTCTTATCACCGCAAAAAATAAAAGGGAAAACCCCTATAAGCACATACTTAGACAGCCTGATACCACATCTCCCCCCACCTCCCCCCAAAAACTGATAAATTACTCTAACTTACCAGCTCCCAAACATAATGAAACCTGCTAAAGATTTGCATCTTCCTGCCTCAGTGATGCCTGCAACTCCTTGTCTAGTGAAAGACAACATACATTCCCTCAGTCTTTTCTGTCCAAACTACTATGTAATCACATTTTCCTCCAGCTTTGGAGAACTGCTGCAGAGAACGCAACCGTCTTTTCCAATGGATCTTGAAAAGACATATACAAGCATGACAGGAAAACTCCTTTGGATCATTTACCATGCTACACTCTCAGTTCAAGTTGTCTAAAATACTGAGCCTTTCCCATGAAGTGCATTTAGTGTCATTTTTAATGGCTTGCCTGATTGACTTCCACCTTTATAGAGCAGATAAAGACACAAGAGTATACAGACAAATGTTTAATATTTTCCTATCTATACAGAGCAGACTATCAACTAGGGGATGAGGGAGTAAAGCTTCCATACGCTTTATCCATAAAACTTCATTGATAAAGTTATTGTTAGAGAAAAGATGAACAAACAAAAGACCACACTTCATTTCAATAAAAAGGATAAAAGTAGAAAAAGGAACTGGATAAGCAGTGTCTGATCTTATAGTCCCTGCTATTTTATAGTTAAAGAATAGGAGAAAAGCAGTCACATTATAGTTTATTTTTATCTTGGCTCATGGAAAAGTTTAGTGAACCACAAAAAATAATCAGAAACACATCCATATCTTTCCAGTGTCCTGCATAAGAGAATCACATGTTAATAAACTCAGTCACTTTATGTGATTCAGAATTCTGTTTTCCTTAAACGAACATGCAGCTGATAAAGACTGAATTTTAAACATAATTTATTCATTAATTAGGTGTCAGTCAGGACTAAAGTACATTTCACCTAATCAGAACTGAGAAAATTAAGCCAGTATTATGATAGTTACACTAAAGTGCTGTATCGCACATTTCATTCAGATCTGAAGGAAGGAACATCTATGGCTTCTATCCTGACACACATTTTGCAAGGTTGGCCAGCTACTGCAAGAGAAACATGTAGAAGTGGGTTATATAAGTGAAGTGTACAGTGTGCTTTCATGCCTTGTTTTTTTTCTCTCCTTTTTCTTTAAATCTCCATGAGGGATAGCAAACCAGCTGGCAATAGAAAAACAACTTTCATTTCCACAATTAATACTAATCTGGTGAGTCAAAGAATACTTACTATTCTTGACAGTGTTTCAATGAATGCATTTTCATATGAACTTATCAATTTGTCACACATACTGGATTTATTTCATAGCTTGCATGTTTTCTGTTTCTCTACATATATTTTTTTGTTACCAAAGTATAAACCCCCATACTTTTCAGCAGCAGAGTTTGATTTACTTCAATATGAAGATTGCTAGCAGGCCATGAAAGCCATTCGAGCCATTTTACCAGTAAATCTTAGGGATTGTGAGTATCAGCATTTTAACATCAAATATGTATTCAATGTTTTTTACTTCAGAGAAGCAGAATTTAAGTTTTTAAAAAGGCAGTAAACAAGGGAGCATAAGTACCAAAGAGAACACTAATCTGAAAAGTTACTCCAGCATATACTAAACGGAAGACATTAATTGTGCAACCTCCCTGTTTAGAAAGTTGCTTCCATTCCCATCCTATCGGCAAGAGAGATGTTTGTCATGCTTAAATTGAAAGTCCCTTGAGGAAGGGCTTAAAACAACAGCAGACACAACAAGGTTTACAGTCCAAGACAAAATGAGAGAAGGCGAGATAGTCATTGAGCATACAAGTCACTTGAAATACTGGCACATCTTTGTTGTTTGAGGCAGGAACTGGTTTGCATTACTCCCCAACAGTAGCTCTGTTTTATGCCTGCTTTATGACTGTGGTAGCATCTGGTTTCCTATCACCTTGTTTACTCAAGATGTTAAAATTTTTCAAATGATTCTCACTCCAGCTGTTTCCTGAACAGTTCTTCGGAAGCAGATCTTTTTTTTAAAGGAAAAAGGGATTTGAATACAACAAGAACTATTTGAAGTTCAACACAAATATTTTTCCTTTATCTTTTCCCTCATTTTAGAATATTAGCTCTGTCACAAAACCAGAAAGCCATAATGCTGGTCACAGGTCCAACCAATTTTTAAATTATTTCTTAATTCAACATGTTACTACAGCAATGGGCTGCAAACGGCTCAGAAAACAAGAGTTGTAAGTTTTAAGTGATACTGACACTGACACCACTTTTGATACGAATCTTTCCC